TATTTAAGAAAATTTCTATTTTGAATGAACAGGATGTTAAAATTGATGAATGCGTCTTTGGAGTCGACCGCTGGATGGAATGAACTTGGTTTGAGGACGGGTTGCTTGCTCACAGAGTTGACGCATGCAGTGCTCGAGATGGGGAACTTCGTCCCTAGAAGCCACCTGCCACAGGGAAAGGCAGCTGAACCTGATCCTGGCAACCATTGTGTTGTACTGCCTTGCTCACGTTCGGTGCTGCCCATATACACAGGCGTCACAGGTGTCAGATGTAAACAAATCATAACTTTTTACAGTGGTACTTTCAGGCTTTCAGGGAGTCAGTGATTTCAGTCCTATCAAACCTGACTGTCTGGAACAATAGTGTGTTAATATCCGTCACAGGGATACATTAGTCTACTTTATCCTTGTTGCATGATAATTTGGCTGCAATGTCTGTGTCATCATTATGAGTCATGTTTATATGAGATGAAATTTACATCAAAGATATTTTAAAATCTTTATTCTGTGTACCGAGTAAGTTATTCATAATTGTTACTATGAGGTTTTCGTCGTCGGTCTTGCAAAAGAAGTTTTCAACTGCCTGAAGAACAAACTTCTCATCCATTGTAAAATGTGATAGATAAGAAGAGACTATAGTAATGAATTTGTTTTTTTTATGTTGTTGGTGCAGAGGTTGTGTTTGTTTATTGTTATTGTTGACTTTAAAGTGACTGGAAAATTACAACCACTTTTAAGTAAACCCAAGTTTTCTTTATTAAACTTTACACACCGTCATTGATAGTCAGTCTACAGCTTACAGACTCTCGCTTCATTAACGCAGGTTCGTCTTTTCTGCGCCACGGCCAAGGGGGCGCACATCCTTGCGTGGTCACTTGAGGGGAGAGACAGGTTAAGTTAAATGTGGCTGTACAACTCCGTAGAGTTACCTTCCCGTGACCGTAACTGACTTCGTGTTTTAAAGTTCAATTACTTCACTAAGAGCGCTTGTTCAGTCTTTATTTTTCTCTATAAACGTCAGGGAGTAATTAAGGCTTTGCATGCAATAGCGATATCAGTGTGACTACACGTAAGCTTGGTGTGAGTTACAGGACAATGCTGGGGACTCCCACAGCTTGGGGGAGTCAGCGTGATGTAGCCTTACCCACGACCCGCACGACCACTGATGTACCGTGCTGTAGGGTCACCCTTGACACCAGCACGACTACTGATGTACCGTGCTGTAGGGTCACCCTTGACACCAGCACGACCACTGATGTACCGTGCTGTAGGGTCACCCTTGACACCAGCACGACTACTGATGTACCGTGCTGTAGGGTCGCCCTTGACACCAGCACGACCACTGATGTACCGTGCTGTAGGGTCACCCTTGACACCAGCACGACCACTGATGTACCGTGCTGTAGGGTCACCCTTGACACCAGCACGACTACTGATGTACCGTGCTGTAGGGTCGCCCTTGACACCAGCACGACCACTGATGTACCGTGCTGTAGGGTCGCCCTTGACACCAGCACGACCACTGATGTACCGTGCTGTAGGGTCACCCTTGACACCAGCACGACCACTGATGTACCGTGCTGTAGGGTCACCCTTGACACCAGCACGACCACTGATGTAGCGTGATGTACCCTTGACACCAGCACGACCACTGATGTACCGTGCTGTAGGGTCACCCTTGACACCAGCACGACCACTGATGTACCGTGCTGTAGGGTCACCCTTGACACCAGCACGACCACTGATGTAGCGTGCTGTAGGGTCACCCTTGACACCAGCACGACCACTGATGTATCGTGCTGTAGGGTCACCCTCGATATTACTATGTACAGACTGTTCCTTCACCTCGAGTGCCTCCACTACCGTCACTTTGTACAGACTGTTCCTTCACCTCGAGTGCCTCCACTACCGTCACTATGTACAGACTGGACCTTCACCTCGAGTGCCTCCACTACCGTCACTTTGTACAGACTGTTCCTTCACCTCGAGTGCCTCCACTACCGTCACTATGTACTGACTGTTCACAAGACTGACAGCACAGAAATGCCACACTAGCCACTTACCTTCATACTCTCTGAAAGCTATATATTGATTTTTCTCCAAAACTTAATATAAGTCAGGCATGAAATGTATAGAACACATAGTCATCACAATCATCCCAGTTTAGCTTTCCAATAGTTTTATAAACATGACGATAACTAATGGAATTTGACGTATCTTACTAACATTACTACTTTACTATTAATATAATAAATACTGATGATATTTATATTATCAATATCATTACAAATAATGTTTAAAGTCTCAATTTAATTATACCGAGATTTAAAAATTATAAGAGTGCAAACATATTTATAGTAACCAAGAATTTCTAAAAAAATTTGTTATAAATTCTTTGTTTTTTTATAAATAAGATTTATCAGAAAAAACTAAGATTTCCTTACATTTTCACCTAAGAAAACAGATCAACAAATTCAACATATGACAACAAGACAAGAATGTTTACTATTGCAGGACAAACTCCAACTCCACTAAATATTGATTCTGTCATTAGCATAATTTTTCAACGCAGAAGTCAATTTAAAATATATTTCGTTTTTAACATATATATATATATATATATATATATATATATATATATATATATATATATATATATATATATATATATATATATATATATATATATATATGTAAACACACACTCACACACACACATATTACCATTTGTATACATATAAATATTGTCTAAGTTAACGGTGTGTGCAGAATTAGCCACTAACTAAACAATTACTAACGATGCCTAACAAGCCCGGATACCCAATGAGACAAACTACAAACAAGGACACGTACACCAAACAAGGACACGTAAACCAAACAAGGACACGTAAACCAAACAAGGACACGTAAACCAAACAAGGACACGTACACCAAACAAGGACACATAGACGTGGTCCAGCCACATCTGGAACAGTACATTATCCGTGCCCTGGAAATGATGATGATGGTGATGCTGGCGTCTTCAGCTCACTCTCGGGTTTTGGCTTCTGGAGTGAAGCACAAGACAAAATTTAGAGCTAAAAACCGTTTAGTGTACAACAAAAACTGCAGCTGTTGATTTATTGTGCGGGATTATGCCGCTCTGGCCTCACTAGGGGATTGTATTCTGGTGAGGGGGCTTAACTTCTCAAGTGTGTAGTGGGCCGGTACACTCACACACCTGTGGGGTTTACCGGTACACTCACACTCACACACCTGTGGGGTGTACCGGTACACACACACACACACACACACACACACACACACACACACACACACACACACACACACACACACACACACACACACACACACACACACCAGTGGGGTGTACCTGGTGGCTGGCGTGTGGCAATTAGCTGTATCGTAGGTGTTCGGGTGGTGTACCAGTGGTATACCGCTCGGGACTGCCCTGCGGCCAATAGGTGTTCCGGGGGTTTTCCGGGGGTGTACCGGGGGTGTATCGCTGGGGGTTAGCGTGTGGCTCAACAACATTTTACACCATCTCAGACTCTCAAGCTGTTTTTTCTCGGAGGTTGAGACGCCTTGCATATCTCAGTAAGCCGATAATGGCAGTGTTAGTCACTCTCTCTCTCTCTCTCTCTCTCTCTCTCTCTCTCTCTCTCTCTCTCTCTCTCTCTCTCTCTCTCTCTCTCTCTCTCTCTCTCTCTCTCTCTCCCAAGACACCAACACACACACTTGTTTAAACCTTAATATAAAAACACCTTCGACAAACTTGCTAATCACTCCTTCCCTTGCCCGTGATAAATAAATCTCGCCTCGAGAATACGTCTCAAAATAATCATATAATTTTTCCCAATTGTCAATAATGTTCGATGAAAATCATTTTGAGGCAATGGGGTGACTTGAACCATCGTTCTGGTGATCCCCAGACGCCTGCCTTAACGGACTCTGCCACGATGGGCTAAAGTCGACCAACCCGGAAATCTACTGAATTCACCGAGAGGTTCTGGAGGGCCCAGACTGGAGCCCAACCAGGATTTTATTCACTCCACTGTCTCAAAATGATTTTCATTGATACATCACGCCATTGGGATTTTATTGTGTTATTTTCTATTTTTGTCTATCCAGCAGCTGATTCAGTTACCCAGGTTAACTGTTCATTGCCAACTTATCTTCTATATATAAATGACACACATGATCGGGTCCTAGTTTATTAAATATCTGTCCAAAATCTGGACAGATATTGGCATTGCCTCGTACACCCATATTCATGATAACCACCAGCACAAAGATCAATCTTGGGGTTTATTCACATTTCCAGCAATGATATCGCCGCCCATGTAAAACAATATCCTCAAATGATCCAGGAAGCACACCGCCATCCTTCTCTTGGTATCCTGGCCACGTCCGGTCATAACCTGGAATACCTAACTATCGAGATGTTCTCACTGTGTTGAGTCCCATATACTGGGAAGGTGGCACCCGGCTGTTCTCGTGTCTCATTCCTTCCTCATTCGTGCTCTCTCAATATCCCCCTTTCTCATCCGTGTTTCTATATCCCCCCCTGTCTTCCCATATCCCCCTCTCCACCTTTCTCCCTCTCCTTCATTTCATCGTTTTCGAGTGAATAAATCTAGGGATTCGGCCAGCCATCGTTCACCGATTAAGTGGGGGGTCAGTACTGGCCCCATCTTGACCAATATGACCTACCCTAACCAGCCAATGTCCCTCCCTTAACCCAGTCCTTTCACCATGCAAAGTTGGATGAGGCTAGCACCTAGCCTCATCCAGACACTTGTATATATAGATGGCCACCTACGAAAAGTGGGAAAGCCATGTAAACATCGATTGAATTCCATTGAATGGTGTTCGAATGCACAACGTACAGACTTTGTCGGTTATATTTATATAGATTAGTCCTAAAAAAAAACTTATTTTAAGGCTATATCGTTTACAATTTGCACATACCATGAAGTTACTTCAAGAAACATCCTTACCGGTTCTTGGCGAGCATGAGGACCCTGAGGTTGGGGAAGGCGTGGAGTCCGTGCAGGTTGTGGAGGTGGTTGTGGTAGAGGTCGAGGAGGAGGAGGGAGGGCGAGGGCGAGGGCGGGTCGACGCGGGTGAGCAGGTTGTGCTGGAGAGACAAGAGACGCACCGGCTCCTCTCCACTTCCCACCACCGGCCACGAGGTCAGACCACGCCTGGGGACCACACAACACTTCCTTTTACTCAAACCTATCACACATGTCTACACTGCAAAATATTACCTTTCCCTATTATACACTGAATAAATAATAATATAATACTGCATCCCAAAACAACAAAACAACAATTACCATGATTGTTACCACCATTTTAAGTTTGTATTGTGACGGAAGTCATCAGTTGGAAGGGAAATATGTGGAGGGAAAGTTAGAAATAGTGTAAATATGCCACAGGAAAACATGAAGACCAGTACTTCCCTCTACTATGTTTCCCGTCAATTGTTATCGACATAAATATGATGAACTGATTTCATCTAGACTTTACCATCAAGCACTTCTAGCGTTGCCGTTCACGTTCCTCTCCTGCTTTCAGATTCATTCACCAGAGTAAGGAAGAAAATGCATTCATCCTCTACTAGTTAAACACAACTACTCCCGCTCAGAACACACTCATCTATTTTACAATTGACCGACTTTTGCCCCCGGTAAATCGTAAGTTGTAAATATATAAATATGGCACACTGAGACAAGTTCACGATAATTTAAAGTTATATTTTTTTCACTGGACGGATAACTGTTACCAGGGTGTCATACAACCATCAAAAGAAACAATGGAGACTTTCAGCTTGAACTCTCAAGTTAATCCAACAGCATCACTTGCATCGTTTATTACCTTATATTGCATAAGATATTAATTACTTTTGGTTATGAGGTACAGACCAAAAACACAGAAAACGTCAAGCATATTAAAATAGCACCGCAAAGTCTGAGTTACATTTCTACAACAAAAAATATTCGTCCTTCCTCCAGCCACGTAATTAATTTTTGTACAGCTTGGTCAGTCAGGATTGTGGCCTCCCCCCCCCCCCCCAGGTCCCCGGAACACGCACGGGGACGTGCTTTCCTCCCCCGACACAGGGGCAGTATTCCAAGTTGGGTTGAAAATGAGATAAAGAAAGACGCCTTCGTACTGATGTTTGCGACTGATGCAACATGAAAAAGATTAGAGTTTTACTTTTACAATGCTGTAAGAAGATTTGCACAATCAGCCGAACTGGGCTAACAAATGGCGTTTATATTTCAAACCTAAGATAATACTGGACAATAAGTATAGGAACAGGAGAAAGACGACTCGAGGAATAATACACAGTGAAGGGGCAGTGTCTCCCCTGTGTCAGAAGAAAATTGACCTAAGAGTAAGCAGAACTCCAAGCATATCACAGACACTAACAGCATATTTTCAGTGGCGTCCAAATAACAGGTAAATAATATATTAGGACTCAGGAACTAGAAGAAGGGCATTTTCTAACGTGAGATCATCTCGGAACAAACTCAGGACAGGCTAAGAAAATTCATAGGTCTAACACAAGACTAGTCCCGGAGACTAGAGGACTAGTCTAGAGCAGACTGGATCGACAGGAGAAATTAACCCCAATCCTTCAAAAAGATACCGAGTTGATTTAACAAGGAGCCAAGGTCCACAAGAGCATATGAACTACTTCCTATAGGAAACACTTGATCATCAAGGCTGTGATGAATGTGAGCGCCTATGGCACGCGGCCAGCAAGACTCGCTCATCACATTATCAACATGAACAGTTTTGCTGAAGGTAAACGGCAGCTCAGTTTATTCAGACTGAATGAAACTTTATAAAACAAATATTTAGAAGTTATTTAATACAAGTATTTAAAACGAATAAATGGTATAAAAATTATTGAAACAGTGCAAAAACGTAACGAACAATGATGGTTTAAAATTAGAGACAAACTATTTGAAAACAACGAAGACTCTGCATTCAATTGCGCAGGACCCCTAACATCTAGGGGGAGCCGGTCGGCCGAGCGGACAGCACGCGGGACTTGTGATCCTGTGGTCTTGGGTTCGATCCCAGGCGCCGGCGAGAAACAATGGGCAGAGTTTCTTTCACCCTATACCCCTGTTACCTAGCAGTAAAATAGGTACCTGGGTGTTAGTCAGCTGTCACGGGCTGCTTCCTGGGGGTGGAGGCCTGGTCGAGGACCGGGCCGCGGGGACACTAAAAAAAAAAAAAGTCCCGAAATCATCTCAAGATAATCTCTACATTAAAAAAAATTAAGAAAACTTTGACTTCTGAAGACGCCATTTAAAGCTGATTAAATATAACTGTCATGGTTTTACATAATTGAGGAAAAGAATGGAATTGACAACGAAGCCCATTACAATACAATGTTGATGACTTAAAAGTTTGATGTGTAAATATTTCCAGTCATGGCACCTTAGTTTAGAAGTCACACACGATGCCTCTGTCAACACTTGATCACCAAGCTGACCACAGGTAAACTCCAGGCTTGCAGTCTATCTAGTCGACACCAATACAGAAAATTGTGTGTGTGTGTGTGTGTGTGTGTGTGTGTGTGTGTGTGCGTGCCTGCGAGTGTGCGTGACCGGGGGGGGGGGGGGGAATCAGAGTAAATATGTGTATCATGTAGGCCACTAGTCTCTCGTCTCGTCGCTGACACGTCATCTTTCATGTAATCTCTCTCATTTTATTGATGCCGCTGCTGTGGTTTTAATACTAATATTTTAAACGAACAAATTAGAGTAATGCCGTGCCGCTGTGAGCGAGCACAGTCATGCCAGGCGACCCGCCACGCCGGGACCTTATCAAGAGATGACAGTGATCCCTCAGCGTCACGTTGCCAGCTGGCAGACAACGTTAGGGGTGGCGTGACGAGGCGACTAGTGGGGAAGTGGGTCAGCCAGGAGCCTCCCGGTGTTGGAGGGGCAGCGGTGCCGGTGATGGGTACAGCCTCCTCCTCCTCCGTGGTGATGGTCTCCCGGTGTTGGAGGGGTGCCGGTGACGGGTACAGCCTCCTCCTCCTCCTCCGTGGTGTTGGAGACATGAGCAAGAGAGCTCCAGGTCTGCCATACACTATCCACTCACCCGCGTGGAGCGTCACGCTCAGTTACTTCACCCACAAGTGGAATTTCGTAATTTTTATGACAATTTTATAGGGAATATTTTGTACATGAGACGGTTATCACTACGACGGATGTTTCTAGCTGATTCTAACTACATGATTAATTAAAACCAAAGACAAAAAAAGAACGTTTGTTCATTAAATATGTCAATCAATCCACAAGCTAAAATCTTAGAGAAAATTATTTTTCACGAAAATTCAACTCTTAATGTGCATCTCTGGCTACGGTATTACAATACAATGATGTGTATACGTACGGCATACATACTTGAGTGTATGCCGTGTATTAGTCTTTGATTATAAAGGAGACATTCATCAAGTGGTCCACCAGTAAGACCAATACTTCAGTATGCTGTACAACATGGGTTCCCCCCCCCCTTATCCAAGCACAAAGTCACTATCTCTGAACCATCAAAAAACGCAGGATAAGAAGGGACATGATTATGACTTAGAAAATACTAATGGGTGTTAATAAAAGTGCTTAAGGACATTACTTACATGAAAAACTTCCAGACTAGAAAGCATACATGGAAATCAATATATACATAATTCAGATATATTAGAAATAACTTGTTAATATAACTAGTGGAAAACAACGAAGCAGAGAGACAAATTTAAAAGTAGATACGACAACGACTTCCTTCACCAGTCAGTCAGAATCTACGAGACGGGATTAGGAGCGGGAGTCCAGCTTAACATAGCTAGGCGAGTGCACACACTCGCGTGCACACACAAAGAACAAACGCACACAGACTTGGTATAATTGGCAAGAGACACGCACTTCCTCCTGCTCACCTCTGTGACCCATGCTGTCACTTCCGACCCGGGACCCACCACCACTACCACCATCACAACTACCACCCGCCACACCACCACCACCACCACACCACTACACCACCACCACCAACACTCTGGTATTTTCATAAATATTTAAATTATATGTGGTGTAGACATCGGTAAATCTGGATTACTGTGTAAACATGTATAGACATCTATAGAGATGTATAAACATGCGTAGACATTCCTCAAATATACTGAGGTGACATTTAACACAAATGTTTTGAATTTGAGTGTATAATTATATTCATATATACATGCAAAGCAATTTCAGACAAGCATATGAAAGCCTATTTGTTTTGCAGTGTTTTCTTTTACTTAAAGAAAAAAAACGGCAAATGTTTTACATAAAAGTTATAATTACGAAAGCCACAGTTGGTAGCGAGTGCGGTGCTGGGAACTTTACAGGGGAAACTGCGGCAAAACGACTGCAGCCACGACTATGAGACTTAAAGAGTAAAGTGGCAACTCAGGCTGACCCAGAAACTTGTGCATCACAGAACATCCTCCAGGCATCGACCGTCGGGTCTGTCCCTCCACCACTCACCGGGTGACACTCTCCAGAGGTGACACTGACGGTGTCAACACCACCAGTCACCGGGTGACACTCTCCAGAGGTGACACTGACGGTGTCAACACCACCAGTCACCGGGTGACACTCTCCAGGGGTGACACACCCGGTGTCAACACCACCACTCACACCACCGTCAGACACTACTCAAATAATGCAACTTTACAACCTCGCAGCGCTTGACCTTGAGACGAGAACGTTGGGACTGTCACTGCCTTAGACAGCCCTACCCTGGGGGCCCACTTACTGGGGCAAACAATTTCAGGGATACCCGAGACGACACGTCTGGGATCGAGACCTTCCGGAAACGAGTCTGAGGGTTTAGCTTTTCGATACTATCGTTTTATTTCTCCTTTTGGTGCTATGTCCAGCTTCCTTATCTGTCCCTTCCCTTCCACTTGTCTTTATATACTAATACTAATTAATTCTTCGTGAGAATTTAAAGTGAGCATTTTAATGGAGGGTCGGTGACCTCCGCTGACCTGAGCTTCTCGGTGACCTCAACTGACCTGAGCTTCAACACCGACCTCCCAAAGTCTCTACTGTCATTCTAATATACACTGTAATTTTCTCCTCAATTACTTTAACAACTGCCCTCAATCAGCTTAATTACTCCTGTGAATTAGCCAAACCATTTATTTTGTGTAAGGAATTCCTGGGCTAGATATGGAGGCGGCGGTAATTAACTCAACAATTCCCCCCAGAGTTACTGTAAACGTTCCACTAAATTACTTGAAACATCAACTTGAATCAACTACGCCATACCAGTAATTATATCATATCCTCCTTTAAATTACTTCAACATTTTCACTGAATTAGCCAATTCTTTTCCATTGGATCTGGTAAACAATTTCGCGATGTATAATTTGGCTTGCCATTTTTGGTTTAAATAAAACAAGGCTTCCAGGAGGTTTCCAGGAGCTTTCCAGACTCGCTTACCTCGCCCTGGCCTCCTATAAGACTCTCTAACCCAGTTACTGCTTCACATGTGCCTTCTTGCTCCCCTACTGCTTCCTATCACTCCCCTTCCCTGTGTCTTTTCCTCCCCCCTTACTACTCTCGTCATTATATCTGTTCTCTACTCGTCTCCTTACTGCACTTCTCCTCCTGTTCTCTACTCGTCTCCCAACTGTCCTCCTCGTCCTGTTTTATACATGTACACAGTGCACATGTTTTACATGAATAGAAGAAATGGCTACAAACAAGAAACAAACAGCTGTTAAAAGAAGACTATAGTTGATATATTCTATACTACAGCAAACGCCTTTTATTCCCAGCCACATAAACTCTCACTGTATGCACATCAACGGAGGACGAGGCGGAGAAGGGTAACTGATAATAGAACACGTTATCTGTTGAATTTGTTCAACAGATAACAGGCTTTCCCAAAATATATATCCTATAGAAATATACTGAAGTAGATGAATATAGGAACAATTAATTAATTCTCCCAGAATATGCCACTAGGAAAAATCTATGATTATACAGGTATTGAAACACGGGGGCAGGAACCAGTGCGTGTGTGCCAGTCAGGCCTCACAGCTGTCCATCACAGCTGTCAGATATGCATCACAGTTGACAACTGCTATTCGGATAGTTGAGAGTTTGACCTTCCGAACTTCACTGAATAAGCGAAGCATAAAAACCCAATTGCACAATTATAATTTCTTAAAAATCTAATTGATTACAAATATTTAGTCACACGATTATCTTAATGAATCCCACGTGAGTAATCACATGACCAAATTTTATTGAACATGATATTTAAGATAAGGTTCCAGAATCAATAAGACGAGAGACGGGTTTCCCACTAGTGAGCGAGGATGGCTTCCTATGGACAAAGACATCCATTCTAGCGCCTGGAGTCTTGAGAGTCGAGATGTTGCGTTTTAGAAGACGTATCTCCCAGTCTGCGAAGGCTGATACGTGTGTTGTAAAATCATACCCGTAAAATCATTCAAATACAGGTATTTGAAGAAAACGTTTGCGGCCTCAGAACTGTTTCTTCGAGATAAGAAGTCAAGAAAACTGATGTTAACCAGACCACTCACTAGAAAGTGAAGGGACGACGACGTTTCGGTCAGTCCTGGACCATTCTCAAGTCAAGAAAACTGATGGTGACAGCCGTATATAGCGGAGGGGAAGCCACGTAACTGTATGAGAATGCAAAGAAGAGAATTCAATTCCCCACAGCCCAGGAAGGATCAAGAAGTGCAATCTCCTCTTGGAATCAAGCACCGGTGATATCGAGGAAAGTTTGGATGACATGAAGTGAAGTGTTGAGGCCAGCACTACCGCAGTTCCTGGAGGAATCTCTACAATAGAAGAGCCGAGAGTTTGACTCGCCAATACTCACATTAAACTCTTGACAGGAAGCTGGCGCATGGATTTATGCTGAATTTACTCAGCCATTATTTTACACAGCATATTTACTACCTAGGTCGGTCGGTACCTATTTACTACCTTGGAGCCGGTCGGCCGAGTGGACAGCACGCAGGACTTGTGATCCTGTGGTCCCGGGTTCGATCCCAGGCGCCGGCGAGAAACAACGGGCAGAGTTTCTTTCACCCTATGCCCCTGTTGCCTAGCAGTAAAATAGGTACCTGGGGTGTTAGTCAGCTGTCACGGGCTGCTTCCTGGGGGTGGAGGCCTGGTCGAGGACCGGGCCGCGGGGACACTAAAGCCCCGAAATCATCTCAAGATAACCTCAAGATAGGTTCAGAATTAGCAGGTCTTAGAATTTCCAGTCTTGAATCCCAGTGTTTATTAGGGCACATATTTATATGTAATGTTCCATACTAGTAAATATTAATATTTACACACTTGTCTCAGTTTAGAAAAACTAGTGTCTGCAACTCTGGTGTTTCTTAACATTGATATTGTCTATATTTATGGATATCATTGTCTAATATTTCATGCCATGTTAACAGGTCGTCTGCCTGTAGTGGCAGGCAGGTCGCACAATACGCAAGTTATATACATATTTGATATTTTTTCCCCATAGTTTCTCTTGTATGAATTTTGGAGTAAATTAAAGCAAGACGAAAAGAACTATACATAATTTTTCTTTGTAAAATTAAACTGTATGCCGTGAAAAATAAAGAGAATGTTAATGACGGGAATGACTGGGAGTTATTAGAACGATTGGGAGTTAGGGAGTTATTAAGTGACTGAAAGTTGCAGCGAGAAAAGAACTGGAACCGGGTGTGGTGGAACTTACCTGTCGAGGTCAACCTTTTCAACAGATACGGGCGTGTTGTTGGGTCTGAGCAGCTGTATCTGGGCGGCGATCTGAGCCTGACCGTGGGCGTGGGCGTACGGACGACCCGGGGAGGGTCGTCGCCCGGAGTACACTCTTGACGACCTGGATGGTAAAACCCTTTCAAATAATTACACAAAAATTTGCTGTTCATGATTTAGTACTTGACCGATTATATAATTAACACATTTTGGGGAATATACAGATGTTGCACAAGCCTTAGGCATAAAACATGTGAAGATACAGAACTCCAGTTACTACTAGAAGATAATATTGGTGATGACCTGAGAGGCGGGGGCGTGCGCTGGGTGAGGATGGGTCTCGGGGGCACGTGAGGTAGCAGGGGCACGGTGAGGGGGGTCATCTGCAGGTCATGGTGGGGCGCGGTCACTGGACCCTGCTGGTAGGCCGACTTGCCACCGCCGCTGCTGCTACCGCTGCTGCCGCAGCTGCCTGCGGTGTTGAGCTTGTTGCTGGCGTACAGGTGGAGGGGAGGACGCGGCCGCTGACGCTCCCATGTCTTGAACACCCGGCCGCCGCTCACGTTCAGGGCGAGAGCCTTGTCGTTCTGGGGGAGAGAGAAGCTCCACCATGAACACGCTCCGTGTGATGTGGTGCAGGTGTAACAGACTTTGTATCGGTCGATGTGGCAAAGATGTCACAGGTCTCGCGACGACATGCTTAGCACCTGTCTAATGAGGATACGTTTCTTCCACAGCTGTCATTAACGTCTACAACTATAAAACTCATATATACTTAGTATGCATATACTGGAAAATTTCAAAAGCACTTTGAATTTTCAAATACAGTATTTAAAATGCGGCCTGTGTACCGTTCAGGTTTATCATTTGATATATGAATGCTCCGTATTCCCTTCTCTGAGGCTATAGGTCCCTGGGATATATATATAGTTCAAAAGTTTTACTTATAAGATCATAAAAGACTCAATGTCCGCAAGAAAAAGCGAAAACAAACACAAGGTTCAAAAAGACATTCACCCAGAAGTAATAGTTAAAGAATAAACGACACGCCAAGAAAAGGTAGTGTTAATTTATATTAATTTATTCAGAATAGGCATTGAACTGTTCATATGCAGTATGAACACCCATACTGGCAAGCTGGCAACGCTGGAGGCCTAAAATTATACATACCATTAAACCTTCTATTATTTATAAAACGGAAAAACAGGCAGTATTTAAAAATGTTTACCAATGACAACTTACAGATTATACAGCAGACAATCCAGGGATGCAATAAATATTAAATAAATTTATAATACATGAACATTGACAGCATATTATAATGACCGAGGCATTGGATAAAAGGCATTAAATATTAATAGCACCTCAGAACTCTAATGTCATCTACTTACTAAAATATAGAGCAATTTAGGACATTTTAGTGACGTTGGGAATGCTCCAGAGGACGACCTGGATATATCAGTAGCGCATTGGAACTTGCATATCAGCACTTTGGTATTTAGATAAAAACAGCATCTGGATATTTATATATCAATAGCGCCTCCGTTTTCAAGAATCTAAATGCCTAACCTGAGCGAATAGGATTAAAAACTAAATATATTTTCTGCCGGTATGAAACTGTCACGGAAAGTTGAAAAGTAAACAATAGCCTATGACTGAGGAGTGAGCGTAGGTTATGGTGAAGGGTAGTGTTGCGGAGGGTATGGGGGCCTCTGACATGGGCGGACATGGTGAGTGTGTGAGTGAGAGTGTGTGAGTGAGAGCGTGTGAGTGTGTGTGAGAGTGAGAGAGTGTGAGAGAGAGTGAGAGTGTGTGAGAGTGAGAGTGTGTGAGAGTGAGAGTGTGTGAGAGTGAGAGTGTGTGAGAGTGAGAGAGTGAGAGTGTAATTACCTAAGTGTAGTTACAGGATGAGAGCTACGCTCGTGGTGTCCCGTCTTCCCAGCACTCTTTGTCATATAACGCTTTGAAACTACTGACGGTCTTGGCCTCCACCACCTTCTCACTTAACTTGTTCCAACCGTCTACCACTATTTGCGAAGGTGAATTTTCTTATATTTCTTCGGCATCTGTGTTTAGCTAGTTTAAATCTATGACCTCTTGTTCTTGAAGTTCCAGGTCTCAGGAAGTCTTCCCTGTCGATTTTATCAATTCCTGTTACTATTTTGTACGTAGTGATCATATCACCTCTTTTTCTTGTCTTCTAGTTTTGGCATATTTAATGCTTCTAACCTCTCCTCGTAGCTCTTGCCCTTCAGTTCTGGGAGCCACTTAGTAGCATGTCTTTGCACCTTTTCCAGTTTGTTGATGTGCTTCTTAAGATATGGGCACCACACAACAGCTGCATATTCTAGCTTTGGCCTAACAAAAGTCATGAACAATTTCTTTAGTATATCGCCATCCATGTATTTAAATGCAATTCTGAAGTTAGAAAGCATAGCATAGGCTCCTTGCACAATATTCTTTATGTGGTCCTCAGGTGATAGTTTTCTATCTAGAACCACTCCTAGATCTCTTTCTTTATCAGAATTCTTTAAAGATTTCTCACATAATATATAGGTTGTGTGGGGTCTATGTTCTCCTATTCCACATTCCATAACATGACATTTATTAACATTAAATTCCATTTGCCAAGTGGTGCTCCATATACTTATTTTGTCCAGGTCTTCTTGAAGGGCATGACAGTCATCTAAATTTCTTATCCTTCCTATTATCTTAGCATCATCAGCAAACATGTTCATATAATTCTGTATACCAACTGGTAGATCATTTATGTAGACAATAAACATCACTGGTGCAAGAACTGAACCTTGTGGTACTCCACTTGTGACATTTCTCCATTCCGGAGAAATGTCACATTCCGATACATTGCCTCTGATTACTGCCCTCATTTTTCTATCAGTCAAAAAATTTATCATCCATGTTAGAAGCTTACCTGTCACCCCTCCAATATTTTCCAGTTTCCAGAACAACCTCTTATGTGGAACTCTGTCGAAAGCCTTTTTTAGGTCCAGATAGATGCAGTCAACCCAACCATCTCTTTCCTGTAATATCTCTGTGGCTCGATCATAGAAACTGAGTAAATTCGATACACAGGATCTTCCAGATCGAAAACCATACTGTCTGTCTGATATTATATCATTTCTCTCCAGGTGTTCTACCCATTTAGTTTTGATTAGTTTTTCCAATACTTTCACTATTACACTTGTCAATGATACAGGTCTATAATTGAGGGGGTCTTCCCTGCTGCCATTTTTGTAGATTGGAACTATGTTAGCCTGTTTCCACACGTCTGCTACGATTCCTGTAGACAGGGATGCCTGAAAGATCAGGTGAATTGGAATGCTGAGCTCAGATGCACATTCTCTCAGAACCCGTGGTGAAACTCCATCTGGGCCAGCTGCTTTGTTCTTACTGAGCTCCTTGAGCATATTTTCCACTTCATCTCTAGACACCTCTATCCGCTCTATGTTGTGCTCTGGAATTCCCATTGTGTCTGGTTCTCTGAAGATTTCATTTTGTACAAACACACTTTGGAACTTTTCATTTAATGTTTCACACATTTCCTTTTCATTTTCCGTTGTGAGAGAGTGAGAGTGTGTGAGAGAGTGAGAGTGTGTGAGAGAGTGAGAGTGTGAGAGTGAGAGTGTGAGAGTGAGTGTGTGTGAGAGAATGCGGGGAGCGGACGAGACCCGGGATATAGCCTCAGACCAACTTCCCTAGATGCATTCATCAATTTGTACATAGTCCATGAAAAATAAATTGATTGTATATAAATTAATATTATTGTATATTAAATCTCTATGTATAGTTGGGAGTAGATTAGGTTAGATGGTTTGGTTCTGTTAGCGATTATTTGTTTTAAATACACGGATTAAGCATTTCGAATTCCTGTTCGAATCTCAAGAGCTGCGATTCGAACAGGGGTCGTCAGTAAACGTCATTAGTTGTGGGCTGGGATATGGTAGAGGATCACGACTGGACGTCAAAATCCCCAACGGACAAAATATAATGTACTATAAATCGCAGCGGCTCACATTCACTTTTTCGATGTGTAGGTCCATCATTTAGGTTAGATTAGGCTCGGACAATTTAGTACATCATTTTCTGTGTTACAACAATTATAGAGGACGGGCTAGTGAAAGAGGGAGCGAAGGTATTAGCAGACACACAGTGTGAGAGTTTAGGAGAAGCAACGCCATGTACTGAAGCTGTAATGTAGTTCTCTTGCCAATTATATGACGAGAGGAGGGAATTATCAAGGGAAAGCGCAAAGCCATTACGATTATATGGCTCTGGGATATTATGAGCGAATGAGTATTTTTCATTTTTTTGTTGACTTTATAATTTCTTATAATTTTTTTCAGGTGTATTTTGAATATCTTTGTATTCATTGTCTGACAGTATTATTGCAAGTCTATATGAAATTAAATGATAGTCAGGTTGAGATGTTCATTAAAAATTAATATGATAATTCTTTAAAAGGAATATATTTAATTAATGTATTCATCGACATTCGATTTATGGATGTAATCACGGAAAAACTACACAAGAATCAAAATGTTTATAGCCTTAGACGTATGATCACGTACCTGGTAGAAACAAAGTAAAAAAAAAAGTGTTAGATTTAGCTTAATACTGTAATATACTATTCTTACTAGGGACAACAAATAATTAATGTCTGGGTTATCTTTCTGTTGAAGCATGAGGCATCAGGGCAAGGGTCAAGGACCTGAACTGGCAGTTGAATACTTCCCACACTAAATATTCAACAGTGAACCAAATCAATCATAAAAAAAGAACTGGAATTTGATTTATACACGATAATGATACACTTGTATAATTGTCTGAAAAAAAAAAAAAATATTGCAAGATATTTATTTACCTCATATTTCCGAAGCCTGGCGGCAGACTGATTCTGTCTTGCCTTCGTTTGCTGGAGCATTGAAGAGACGAGGAGAGAGCGTCCCTCGTGGACCAGTGTTACCTAGTCATGAGTGAAGGCAGGCGAAGGCAGGCGAAGGCAGGCGAAGGCAGCCGCTCTGGTGACGCGTGAGGGTCACTGACACCGCCTGCTGCCTACCCAGTCCCACCCTGCACCCACTCGCTCAACTCTCAGCATCCTTTTTAAACTGCAGGTACGCTGCCTCGATTTTAATTACACATGTATATTGACTATTATGACGGCAGTTGAAAAAATAGAATAAACTCGTCTGAACTTTTTATCGTGTACATATTAATTACCGAGGAATTGTTATTGCGTGTGAATGAATCATATTCATATGGTTTTGCGTTTCGTAAATATACGAATTGAATTATGTTTCTCGACACATGCTTGTATTTTACACAGCCCAAGATTTTGAGTGGCTGTATATACATCAGCAGCAGAGGAGCGTTGACCCCAAACTGCCTGTCAGGTCATCTTTCAATTGTTCTTTTAAAATGTTACCTGTGCTAATTCCGGAAGAACGAACTTTGCGACTATTCACTCAATGTACAGTGCAATTTCTACTCGATATATCTAATGCGTCCACTTGCTTCAAATATGACACATCTGCTTCACGTTGGTGTTAAGAACACGACTGAATTGTCGTGGTAGCCTTGACTATCACCTCCACGGGTACCAACGAGCGGCTGGACTCCTTAACTTAGTGGCAGGTCCCCAGAGGCAGCTGCCCGATGGTTCAGCTCACACATCTCGTGCTAATGCTTCCGACGCCTGTGTGATCAATAGTAGCATGAAGGTGTAGTGTAGTAAGACATGCACGCACACAATAGTCTACCCGAAGTTATGCAGTCTTCTCCAACTAGATTTAACACTGGGTAAACTTTTACAGCGACTTTGGATAATTATTTTCCATCTGAAAATGATATATTTTCACGCGCTGTCATCGATAAATGTGCTGTAACATTTTTATACATTGTACTACGCTTTTAGATATCTGCAGAACATTAATTTTCACCCTAATCAGCTTTATATATTTGTTATTTTGATAACTGTAACGTGCTTTCATTACAAGGGCAAGCGAGCACGGCGGGTGTCATGCGGGCAATATCTGAAGAACCAGGAAACGAGTATAACTGAAAATGTGGAGAGAGGGTGGTTGGAGACTAGGCTGAGGACGGCAGGGCCTTACACACAGTGGCCGGGTGGAAGCCGTGGCGGCTACTGGCCGCCGACACACAAACTGCTCCACTCCGTCCCGCAGATTGCCAACTGGCCGACCAGGTGTCATGCCAGACAATGAACTGCTCCGCCGTCTTATTCTCTTGGTGGACAGCTCGTAACTGACCACAAGGAAGAATACCAACCTCTCCCGGATGCCAGACGTCCCCCTGTTTCATTATTTTTTTATCATTTGACAGTTTTTTCTCAGTCTCTCACTTTTGATGGAATTCTAATGACCTTATAATGAGTAATATAATACATTTAAGACTATTCAATAGTTAATTCGATGAAAACAGTGGTTAAACAATATTAAAATACTGAGAAACAAGGCTAAGCGTCCCATGGTTGCCTAGCAACGGAGACACCATGAATCAATGAACCACGTGACGCTTTGCGCGCGTTAACTGTGTCTTTGAGAATGACTTCCTTAGATCAGTTTTGTAAACAAGTCCGTCCATCACAAACTAGCCACCATAACACTACAGTGTCACAGGAAAGTGACCAACGTTAAGTTTATGTGGACGTACCATAAGAGATTTGTTAAGGTTATTTCTTCTACATGAAAAATTTATAGAAGTTGGTTTATGATATTTGAGACACAGTTCTTGGTATATATATAATAAATATATATTTTAAGTTGCGTATTTGTTGCGAAACATTTGTGTAGAGCAAATTTATCTCTGTATTTCCTCTTATGAGACACGAAAGAGTCGAAGCTCAACCCGCCTCATGCCTAAATTAGTTGAGTACATGTTAATATATTTTGAGCAATGGAGACAGCACTGAACGATACTTATTTTTGTAATCACAGACATACATTTGACTAAATGGTTTCTTTGCCTTCTTTATCTACGAGGTTATTTGAGACTACGCTTAAATGACTGTACCCATTACCCAACAATACGCACTATACAGTACTTATATTTGCTACAGATAATTTTCAATATCTCTTACTATGGGAAAATAAGGTAAAGAGATTTAACATCCATTAATGTACTTTGTCAGTCAACAAGAGTAACATATGATTATTAATTTATTAAAATGAACTTTCTAAATTTATTTATATTGCACAAAAAAACAGTTATATGTGAGGGAAGGTGATACACAGAGAAGCCTATTTTATAGATTCACAGCCATCTATAAGCAAAAATTGACCAGGCACTGAAACTGGTGTTATTTAAAATAAATAAATCATATTTACTTGATGCATTAATCAGAAAATTAGTAGGAGAGATAAGGAGGGTTAGAACCTATGGTCAAGGGACCCCCAAGCAACGCTACACCACGACATGACTTAAAAAGCATTGCAACCTGGGATTAAACTGAATCCTCTAGGGTTCCTAAGGCTTCCACTGAAGCCTAACCAGGGTTTCACTCAGTCCCCCATACACTCTAGCTTATAGTCTTAGGAATCTTCATAGATTTTAAGCCAGAGTGTGTGGGAGCATTGTCTGAAACCCTGACTAGACTTCAGATGAAGCCTCAGAAACCCTAGACTAGGCATGTTGTGATGTAGTGGTCTAAGGCGTTGTTTGGAGTACTCAGAGTATAGGCTCGAATCCTCCTCATGACTCCTACTAATTTTCTCACTAGTTTTGTTAATATTTACATTGGTTTAATTGCGATATGATCATGAGTGAAAACATTAGTGGGTTCTGGTGACAACTAAAACAACACCGGCCTCGCCTATCTTGTAAAGATGAACAACCAGTTACAATATTAACTCTGTATTGGAGAAGATCGTAATGCGTCTGAATTTACTTATCACTTATTTTAAAATATTCTGTTGAATTGGGTAGGCAATACTTGACTGATGATATATATATATCATAGTGTATGTACACCATGTTATGATCATTACTCCTTATCGCCTAGCGTAGTCGTGCTTTCTGGGACAGTCCCGCGGTTATTCTTTATTAGATGAGAACTTGGTATAATACTAGCCGAACAAATCTGGGAATAGGTAGTGAAGAGGACAAGTTGATTAGTAATTAGTGGTGACCAGGAAGTCATTAAACAAATAGACAAATGACATATTTGTTGGTTAAAGCTCAACAAATAGGTTCCCAGGCCCAGACGAAACATTTACCAGGGGCTTTAATTATTGTAAGTATGAACTTATAGTAAGCCCTTGTCTTGTTTATCGAATAAACCATTGAAGTCGATAAGAGAATCGTTCTCGTAGAGGATTGCGAATATGGTGACGATATTTAAGATGGAACATAAATTATTTGCGTCAAAATATCTGCTAATTAGCATAATGTGTATTGCAGGAAAATTGCTGTTATTATAAATAACAAAATCAGTTTGTATACATATTGAAAACTATTAATACAAGTTTCACAGCATGGCGATTCTATTAATACAAGTTTCACAGCATGGCGATTCTATTAATACAAGTTTCACAGCATGGCTTGGCTACACACAGCTCGTGTCTAGCAAATGAACTCCATTGCCATCATATTTCAAGCAGTTTGTAGTGGATAAGATTGCGACACTCATTATACTAAATGTAAGAAAGCCTTTGATAATGTGTCTCATGAAACACTCAGTAGGTTTAAAAACACAAGGTAGTGAGTGAGTTTCATTTTTTTCAGCCAAGATATTCCTGCGCGGGCCCTAAGCCTCTAGCTGGCCCACTAACTGTTAACCATTGCAGCCTTACTCAGGAGGTAGATCATGTTGGAATCAGTAACGTTATCACCAATATACTTAATAATAATAATTAACAACTTCTGCATTGTAAAGTCTCAGTGGTAATGTTATTTGAATTGTAACTCTGCAGTGTGTTAGATAATTTTCCAGGAGTGTCTGGCTTTTCTCCACAATGCTGACATTTAATCTCTACTTTTTAAGGCACTACGGGCTCACCATAGCCCGTGCTACTTGGAACTTTGTTCCAGGTAGTGAATCTTTAACAACAACAACAACTCTACTTTTGACATTTGTAAGCCTATTTCCCGAGCACATGGGTACCCAAGCCTCATGCGGTGCAAGTGTACCTCTATTCTTACAGTGTTTCCATTCAATCATATAAATCCTCATAGTTGAATTTTTCTACCATCTCACAGTTCATGATGTTTCAGCTGCTGCATTATTGCAACTGTGCATTGTTATGGTTACTAGTTGTAAATATTTTCTTATTCTGTGTTAGGCTCGGTTGTGTTTAGTTATTTCCAGTTTGATTCTTTGTTATATTGTAATTGTCTCTTATCCTCCATCTTAAGCTGCAGTTTTAAAGGAAGATTGGATCCGGCATATTAGAACAAGAATGAGGATTTTGTTTCCAACCTCGATGCCAAGCACCTCTCCCACATGCTCGGTGAAAGTTCAAACTTATGTAAGCGCAAGTTCTTCCTTAATATTTTGCCCTACTCAATTTCAGCTACGTATATGATTGATCCTATCTATATAACTTATATTTTGGTATGTAGCCTTCACTGTCCGCAGACATCCTATCATCCAGAGATGATAGTACCCATTAATACCTAGTAGGCATCCATCAGTCCTACTGATGGATGCCTACTAAATTAATTAGTAGGGTAAATTAATACCTAGTCCCTTATCTATTATTAGTATGAGAAATCATGGTACTTACTATGAGAGATGCTATTACCTATTATTAGTATGGGAGATGATAGTACCACACACACACACACACACACACACACACGCACACACACGCACACACACACACACACACACACACACACACACACACACACACACACACACACACACACACACACACACACACACACACACACACACACACACACACACATATCCCCAGGAAGCAACCCGTTGCAACTGTCTAACTCCCAGGTACCTATATACTGCTAGGTGAACAGGAGAATCAGAGTGAAAGAAACTTTGCTCATTTGTTTCCGCCTCTGCCGGAGATCGAACCCGGACCCTTAGGATTACGAATCCCGAGCACCGTCCACTCAGCCGTCGGGACCCACTCCTACAGGTGTGTAGGAGTGGGTCTGGCACTGGCGTCTGTGGACGTGTTTTGTCTGTTCCAATACACATTTCCTATTCTCTTTCTTGCACAATTATTTATCTATTCTGTATGATCGTTATCCTATTTATCACTTGGTTAACATTGGGGAAAATAGGTTATCCTTTCAGGTGAGCTTTTGAGCAAAATTGGTCATTTTTTCACGTGAACATTTGGGCCAAATAGGTCATAGCATTTCCTGTTGTCTAGTCAAGGTTGACATATATCTGGGCGTGTCAATAGATTATTCCAAGAAGGACATTGTCTCTCTGAGCTTATATCAATACTTCTCTTGTGACTTGGGTAACTATTTTATGTGGGGAGGTGGAGAGATAGGGATGGGTGTCCTGTGTGTGTGTGTGTGTGTGTGTGTGTGTGTGTGTGTGTGTGTGTGTGTGTGTGTGTGTGTGTGTGTGTGTGTGTGTGTGTGTGTGTGTGTGTGTGTATTCGCCTAGTTGTGCTTACGGGGGTTGAGCTTCGGCTCACGTTGTGTGGGAGTGATGTATGTGTTTAAGGCTTCAAGAATCACCACACACACTATCCTGTAATGAGATTATGCACTACATGTATTTAGCAAGTTTCAGAATAAACAAAGACGGAGTTTAAGTCTTCAAAACATATACCATCACAGAGTAAATATACAATATGTTAAGTGCATCTCAAGGCAGGTCTCGTTAGGGAGGTTGCAGACAATGTATTCCATACACAAGGTAAGTTATTTAAATTTTTACTCAAAATCATATATCTTATACACACACGAAACTTCTCGGAGACATGAAAATGGTATTTACAGAATCAATAAATGTACACAGGGGGAATATACAAGTTTTGTTAATAATTTACGACAAACTGCATTATAATTTTCAAAGTAAATTGTGGTAGTTTAGCTTAATATCGGAGAACACTTTAAACTTTCCAAATAAAGCAAATAGTTTTCGTTATCTAGTTAACCATGAAATCCTAATAAATTGTGTAACGTCTTGAAATGCGCATGATAACATAACTACATCAGTCCTCCCTTCACGCGCCATCATGGAGCAGATCATGTGCAAGTCTTGGTGCTGGGACGAGCTCTCTACCCCAGGTCACCTCCAGGGCTCCCGCCCGCACTCATGCAATTAATACATTTTGATACATTTAGATATTTATATAATTTAACAACATTTTCCCGTTTGCTTAGTTTTCCAATATTTTATATGAATGTCTACAACTGTAGATTGTTCTGATTTACTGACAATTCTCTGTTCTTAAAATGCACTGAATGAAATATAAAATTTGAATTATTCACGCAATTTTTTGTTTTATAGTTCGTTTGATCTGAAGGAACACCTGTTCACAAGCTCTTGGTGGGCCTGATCATGATGGACGAGGAGCGGAGGTACTCCTTGTTGCGCCACATGTGCCAGTTGATGCCAATGCCGTCGCCTGACTCCTTGTACGGCCCGTTTAAGTTGGCCCACGAGCACCTATTGAACCACCACCCTCCAATCTTCCAGTACCTGGCACAGTTAATCTCGTGGGAAGTGTCGTGGTCTTCGTCGTGAGTGGTGAACATCATCCCGTCGGCGGTGAAATTGTCTGGTTTACCCTCGTTGCCCAGAGCGTCTCCTGCGGTGCCGCTGTAGCCAGATACGTGCATCCTGTAGCCCTGAGCCTCGCTCTCGATGTAGAAGCTGTCGTAATGGGCGAAAGCGGACTCCCCTTCGAAGTCGGTGAGATCTATGCGCATCTCGTAGTGCCGAGTGTTCGTCCAGATGTATATGTTCTCGAGGCCAATCCAGTAATCATTTGAAGCGTTCCCAAATCCCATCTTGTAGTCGTACCATCCGCGGTTGAAGTCTGTAGACCGCGAGTGATGAAGACGTCTCTGGATGACCGTCCACCCACCGCCGTCTGTCTCCATGTCGCAGAAGACAGTGACTGGTCGCTTCCCGTTGTGGTCCATGTGAAATGTGTAGACTACTGATTCCGTTTGCCCTTTTGCTTGCAGATCCGCACAGTCGAGCACCGTAAGTCTGGCGAACACGTCCCCTGCAGTCTGCTCCACACTGGTGACGCGGGACTTCAACAGGTTCAGTCTCCTCGTCAAGGCTTCATACATCCGCCTCATGATTACAATCAAGTCTCTTTCACTTTCGAATATGTCTTCATCAAAGTCATCGTCCGCCTCTTCTTCTCGTTCTGTATTGACGGTGTCAACGTGATCAAGTGTCGCGATTTCATTAAATTCCATCCCAGTAGGGTTGCGCGGGGTGGTGGAGGGTATCGCATTCGCCTCGGCTTCAATGCTGTCTTTGCTGACTTTGTCCATCAGACCACCTTGAATGGCATTCAGCCTATTAGAGTAATCGTCGTCCTGTTGGGCTTTAACTTGAGGAAGGCTCACAAGACCCCCGATTAGAGGAGGCTGACCTTTGATCATTTCTGCATCATTTCTGCCACCGTCAACAGTGCGTCCCTCACTGTATGTCACTACCACAGTCATCACTAACACCGTCCACAGCTTTGCCATGTTTTATCAAGTGTTCGCCGCAGGTTTAACTCTGCAGTTAATGCTTGACGTGGTAGCCAGTGACCAGGCTCGCTGACAATGTGCCCGAGACGGTGGTCGGGGCCTGACTGACCCGTTACTACACTTCACGCACACGCACGCACACACACACACACACACACACACACACACACACACACACACACACACACACACACACACGCGCGCACACGCACACGCACACGCACACACATTTCGACTTCATCGTAAAACATGTTCTTGGACACATAGTTTAAATCTCAACATTTTTTATGAAACATGAAGCTGTCAATTCATAAACACGTTGTATATTCCCCAATACAATCGACTGAGTGCAAACTGTATAAAAGCAAGGAGAAAAAGGACAAAGAGAGGACTTGGGAAGGGCGAGAGAAGACGTGAAGGAGCAGAGGGCCTAAGAGCCAGAGGCATGAGACCACTAGAGCTGAGAGCCAGGCAGCAATTAGAGTAAATACAAAGGAGAGAGAATTCAAGTGTTAAGAGAGCGCGATCTGCCAGAGGGAAGCCATTAGCAGGCTGGCGGGAGGAGGAAGGCAAGAGAGAAGAGAAAGGAAGGCAAGAGAGAAGAGAGAGGAAGGCAAGAGAGAAGAGAGAGGAAGGCAAGAGAGAAGAGAGAGGAAGGCAAGAGAGAAGAGAGAGGAAGGCAAGAGAGAAGAGAAAGGAAGGAGAACACAAAACTACTACGCCATAAGAGAAGCTGGGAAGGCAACGACAGGAATCGGAAAGAGAAGCAGATTTGAGATTCGATATAATTCCAGCAATATCCCCCAGAGGCACACACAGAGTAGCATCTGAAGCACCTGGTCCGCTGGCAGACATTAGATGGTCCATTAACACTAAAATATTCACTCTTCCAAAGTAATCTACCCAACCTATGTTTGAATGTTACTGAAGTATACAGCACCTGCCTGGAATCCGCACCTGGAGAAGCACAAAACAAAAAAATTAAAAAGTTCAGAAGTTTGCAACAAGATAGATTCCAAAACTATGAGAGTTAAGCTATAAGGATAGGCTAAATACACACAAAATACTGAGCGGAATATACAGGGTCAAGAAGAACAGCTTCAATAACTTTATAGAAAATAATACAAGAGGACATATGTGGAGGCTGGAAAGGCAAATGAGTTGAAGTGGTCAACAAGTGGAATGTAGTGAAAGTAGTTGTGGAAGTCCCCTCCATCCACAACACTAAGAGCAGATACGATAACAAATTCGAACATCAAAAGTTAAATTATATACTTCCCCATAGTCACTGTTAGGTAAGTATAGGGGAGGGAGGAGAGGAGAAAGGCAGAGGGGAGGAGTAAGGGGATAAGAATGGAGGAGAGGAAGGGGAGAAAGATGGAGGAGGAGAAGTAGAGAGGGTGGAGGAGTAGGGAGGAAGAAGGGACGTGTAAGGGGGTAGGGACGGAGGAGGAGAGGTAGGAAGGGAGAAGGGGCCAGAGAGGGGGAGAGGAAGGGAGGGATGAGTGAGGAGAGGTAGGGGGGGGGATAGTAATCATGGGGTCAGTGTGTTTGGGGGTGTGTCTGGCCTCTTACTTCCGGTGACCAGATTAGTGAGGGCAGCCATGGACCACCTTCCCCACATGTCCCTACCAGTGTTGCCAGATTGGGCTACAAATAGCGAATTGGGCTACTTTTGAGAGCCCCGCGCTCCCAAATTTATAAATTCGCTACTTGCTACTTTTTGGGCTAATTTAAAAGCAAGATGTGCTAATTTGGGCTATTAATGTTAAGAATGTACGATTGGGAGTTACATGAAAGTAACTAAGCTATAAATAATTGTAATTAATAATAATTGTAAATATTAATTAATACTAAATAATATTATTTAATAAATTAGTCCCAATTCAATGCAGAGTTTTCTTCCAAGAACAAAAATTTGTAAATATAAATACAAGACAATAGATAGATTGATAAATAAATAGACAACTTTCAAATATTGCACCAAGTAATGGCGAGAGGAAAAAAACTAGACAGTATACATTTTATTTTAAATTAATAATGAATGAATGGTAATAAATTGGTGTATGTTTGTATGTATACCAGACAAAGTCCATTTAATGGCAGAATTTACCCATTTTGTGTAAAAACTTTTATATCTCATATTATTAATTATAACAGTAATCGAAAAAAGTCATAGTTTGTATATACAAGAGATGAAACAGAGAGCCATGAGCTAGAGCGATGTGCTGAGTCCATAAGGAGGCCCAGCTTCCAGAAATACCTTCCTGTGATTGGCTGTTGCGGGGAATACCAACACTCTTTTATGAATAAAATTTAAACTAAGAAATATGTCCTTGTGTACAACAACAAGGGTGTTGTGAAAAAGAACAACAATTTCTGTTTTGCACCTGACAGAAATCTCCATCTAACTGAATAATTTTCTCGAATAAGAGGGCAGAGCAGTGTATCATTATTTGTGACAAGGCAACCCCCAATAATAACGTCAGAAGTTAGGTAGCCATGCAGCCCATTTTTATATAACATCTGTTATATCCTGCAATATTTAATTATCACTTTATTAACACTTTAAATAATTAACACTTCACTTTTTGGGTAAATTAAAGTTAAAGCAGAATTCCATAAGCAGGACTGGTGGGCTGAACTACGATGATTTCCTGCCCGAAACGCTACGCGTACTAGTGGCTGTACAAGAATGTAACAACTCTTGTATATATCTCAAAAAAAAAAAAAATGATTTACTAAGTGGATGGCACCTATAGCTGATCCCTTCCTGTGATTGGCTGTTATGTGAATGTCAACAAAGAGTTTCTATCAATGATATTCCATTGATTATGCACCCCCATACCATCTTGTGGGCGGAGCTTGGAAACCTCCTACCCGAGCACAACAACCCGCCTTATGGGTTGCTGTTTGGCTATTTATAGTGCGTTGGAAAAAAAACAGATGGCGTTAGTGGTATTTTGTAGGGTAATTTGTTATAGGTGTAATTTGATGTCAACAGATGGCGTAAGCTGTATCTTATGGCCACTGTTGACCAGCCAGTTGATAGTGTTCTCTTCTGCCGACAGATGGCATCAGCTGTGTTATTATTACTTCCGAATTCCCTTTAAACACATCTACAAATCCCTTCGTCGTCGCCCCTAAATCAACACAACAAATCCCTTGGCTTATGATAAGGTTTTATACCAGTTTTTTAATAAATAAATGTTTATTCAGGTAAAATACATACATACAAGAGGTTATACAAAAATTGATAAGATTTATAGATAGAGCTAGTACATACAATGCCTAAAGCCACTATTACGCAAAGAGTTTCGGATTTATGATAAGTATTAGATAACTGGAGTTCCGCAATTACTTTTATTTATCAACTGTTCAGGATATCATCAGTCCATTTGGTCACCACTTGGTCCGGGAGACATCTCCCGTCACGCAGGGTGCAGTTGCGCCTCCACAGATCTCCAGTATCATCTTTTGATACTGGTAATGGCTCGAAAGGGCCACCACTTACGGGCTATTCATGCCCGTGCCACCTCTTGGGTGGCTTAATCTTCATCAATCAATCAATCGATATCATCATATAATGTCTGGTTAGGACGTACTGCTCTCGATTGATGAAGATTAAGCCACCCAAGAGGTGGCACGGGCATGAATAGCCCGTAAATACTGCTTTCGTAATATTATTCAAGGGGGGTGGGGGAACTATCAAGTGAAAGCGCCAAGCCATTACGACTATATAGCACTCGGAAGGGATCAGGATACGGATTTGGGATGGAACGGGGTAAAGGAATGGTGCCCAACCTCTTGGGCGGTCGGGGATTGAACGCGGACCTGTAGGAAACGAGACCGTCGCTCTACCGTCCAGCCCAAGTGGTTAAGCGTAATATTATTAAAACAACAATTTATGCAAATAATAACAGCATTTCACACTAAAAATACTTGGATATATTGAAATTTGGTAGTGAATTCCAATCTAGGAATCTCCTATGACTAAACTGTACTTTTTAATCATTTTTATGTACTTACTACTTATTATTAAATTATTAAGTACTTACTATAGTAATTAAATAAATTATTTTATTTAATATTTAAATTAAATGATAAAATAATAGGTAATAATATATCATTGTGTAGGGGGACAGGCAGCCAGTGTATATATACATGTTAGGCTTATACCAAGGTGCCACAAAGGTGCCAAATTAAAGACTGGGTACTGCCGGGGAGGACCCAAGGGCTGCTGGCGGCCCTGGCCAGGCTGAACTTCCGCGCCCTTATAATCACCATTGTTTAATAATCTTCACAGGGAGAAACAACTGTAAATATAGGAATAGTTTATTACAACATACACGGTGAAGAAAACAGCTCGGAAACTAAGGAAATAAAGCTGTCGAAAAAACATTAAAGTCCACTTCAAGTTCAAGTATGTTTATTGAGACAATAAAAAAATACATCAAATAAAGAGATAAGAGTAGCTTAGGCTATTTCTATTCCCCCCCCCCCCCCCCTCTACTTCAAGTCCCTCAAGGGGCGCACTCATTCACTAAGTACAAATACACAAATCAGAGTACAAGAATCCCATTTAACATAGCAGGTTAAAATAGGAAGCACAGCATATAAGTGTTACAAGTGAGTTACAAGTTACAAGGGAACAAGTGAGAAGGCGGTGGAGGCCAAAACCGGAATTGCACACTGATTTTAATGCAGATAAGTCGTGATTATCATAATATAAAGATGTTAAGGCACGAAAACCTTTTTATTCGTTAAATTGTATAAGGCAATTAAAAGAACCTAACTCACAGCCCCTCTGTTCAAGTCCCTCAACATGCTAAACATATACTCACTCTACACATTCTCGTGTACTATCAACATGTACAAAACCCTTGTGCATGGTCGGGCTTCGGTTGGTGCATGATTGTGCTTCAGAGGTTTTGTTCGGTTCGTTCATGCTAGGCTTGCAGTTACACAACTGGTCGGGGTCCGCTTACACAACTGGTCGGGGTTCGGAGTGCACAACAAACTACCACTCACTGGCTGAATAAGGAATGCTTAATAAACTATCCACCTCTGGCGGCAAAAAATCAAATATATATATATATATATATATATATATATATATA